ACGCACAAACTCTGATGTTCCATACAATTTTGTATCCCTTCAGATTACGATTGTGGGTGTGCACGTACACACCGATACGTCGACGCCAAGTAACTCGACTACTCTGTGTTTGCAACCCTCCCCCTTTACTCGATTCATCCCTGCGGCGCGGGTGGATGGGTGGTTGCCTGCGTTTATGAGGCCGCGGGCCCGAAATTGAAAGGCATCCAGCTTCGCGAAGGGGTTGAGGGGGGGAGGGCGTGCAGCAGTCACCGACAAGCGAAAGACCGTATCAGAGGGTAATCCTATTGGTGGACGCCGGCGTCGCGACGTTCCGGCGTCATTGGTCCATCCACGATCCGCAGGGCGTGGCGACGTCGGCTTGGAGGGGTTGTCGCATCCCTGGCAACGATTACCAGAAGGCAAGCAGGGGTTCGCGCGACGGCAGGAATCCAGCATGGCGGCGACCCAGCAACCCCTAGACGCCGTCGAGCTCTCACCCACCACAATCATCGCCACCGCCGCTGCCGCCGCCGTCACCACAACGACGCCCGGCGTCGCATCGCGCGGCATCGGCCGTTACCGAATGCCCTCACACACTCTCGTGGATCTCGCTCGATTTGTCCGGGAGAACACTTCAGGAGTCGAAAGTTCGATCGCTCAATTAATTGCTCCGTTAGCATCTCCTTTTGAATGTTGATTCTCCGTCGACGGCGAAAACGAAAGGAAAGGCTTCATCGACTCAATTTTTTTTTTTTTTTAAAAAACGCTCGATATGTCTATTGAGAAATACAAATTCAAATTGATTTATTGTTCGTTGTTTATACAATGCATAAACATCTTACATCTTATCCTAATATCTTCTTATCTTTTTATCACATTCAAGTTTCTGTTTGTGTTAATAAATGACTTTTGCCATGTATTAAACGAGGACAAATTAAGTAGACATTTTTTAAATTTAAATTGTGTAAAACAGAGAGAATATTACCTAACTTTTATTATCAAAAGATACAAATTGTATAAATCTCTATCTCTTCGTTCGAGCACGTTCCAGAGATGAGATCGATTAATCTACGGCAGATCAAAAGAGGTCTGGCTGCTGTTTAGCGCATCGCCACTTTTTATCGGATCCGATGTCGAAGCGACTCGGCAAAGAGAGCCTCGCCGTCGCGTAGCCAACGATCAACAATTGCACCGACGCTCAGGTAGGCGTCGTTTCCCGTGACAGCGTCTCGCTTCGGTAGGGGGATAGTTTAGTCCGGATCGCCGGGGGTGGGAGATACCAGGCGTCATCGGAGAGGGTCGTAGGGGTCGGCGCAGGCGCTTCGTCCCGACGACGGCCGTCGCGGCGAGGCACCGCGTCAAACGTGGAGGCTATAGGTTAAATCCTCCCGCTCCTCGTTTTTGTCGTTTTCCGGCGTTGCCTCCTGATCCCGCCTTCAAAAGTGCCGGCGGACCAATCGGCGCCGGGCGTTGCTCGTCCGCTGGCACGGCAAGCGCCACGACGGCGGCGGCAGCGACGGCGACGGCGGCGGCGGTGGCGACGGCGGCGGTAGCGGTGGCGGTGACGACGACGCCGACGTCATCCGCGGGTAACGGCGACTCGCCGTCGAGATCCCGGATCGGGACGCCGCAGACGTCATACGCCAATCCGACATCGACGAACGATCGTTCCGCCTACGGGTCGATCTCGAAGCGGAACGGGTTGATCTCGTTGATAACGCGAGCGTGCACCCCCGCACGGGTCGACCTCCCTCGCGGTACCAAGACACCTCTGTGACACCTCTCTCACCTCGCGTCCATTCAGCGTCGCGTAATCGCGCCGGTCCCGAGCGGCGTGTCGTGACTTTGGGCTTCTTCGGAATCGCCGAGAAATGCCTTCCGCGTCGCACTCATCGATACCAGTGGTGGTCGTTGGATTGGCGAATTAGACTGTAGATCAAATCGGATCGAACGGTCGGAGAATTTAGTGATAGATTAAAGAGGGTGGAAAAGTCAGTAATCGCGAGAGAAGTGACCTACGACGTGCCGCAGTGTGGATATACTGGAATCTTGAATTATCCTAGGTGAGTCTGCGATGATCCTTAGTAGGACATATTAAAGTTATAAAAGACGCAAATCAAGTTAACTCTTTATTAAAAAAAAAAAAAAAAAAAAAAAAGAAAACAATTAAAAACTTCTCGTTAGAGGGAGAATATTCTATATTCAATAAGGCAGTTATATGACTTTAAAAAAAAGATTTACAAATCACTGTTTAGTTAATGAAGAAGAATATTATTTGAAATAATCTATTATTTATAACTTAAATACAATTAATTAAGAAATTTTGATGTATAAATTTAAGGGAATAAAATTGTCCGAATTATAAGAATATATGTGACATTTTGTTTTGACTTGTTGAGTCAACTGGACTAAAATAGTTTTTGCTAGATTATAAAAAAGACAGATTTGTAAATAATCGCATCCACGCGATTATTTGCATTTCGTATTAAAATCAGTAAGCTGCATATGAAAGAGACATATACCGGTTCTAGCGTGTTTGACATCGGCCTGATAACGAATGATCGAGAAAGCACGATGAATGGTGCAGCGACAGTCACGGCCACCGAAGATCATCAACATCAACATCAACAAGCTCAGAATGAAACAACCTCGGAACATCCACGAAGTCCCGCTAGTCCATTGAGCGTTAGACACGGTAAGATAATACAAAAGTATATTGAAGATAATAACAAGATGGTCCATGTACAATTATTTAACGTGTCTTCGCAATTTTTTGTATCGTGCGTGAAAATCAGGAGAGACTCTTAACTTAATTTTGAGCTTTTTAATTGCTACATTTTAATCGATAATATAAGACAATAAAATACTGACTTATTATTATGAAACAGAATTTTATAAAATTATATTTTATATATAAAGAAGATTTACAAGAGAATAAAAGACGAAATAAAAAAAAAAATAAAAATTTTGTAATTTACCATGACGCTGGACTGGAAATAAGACTCGAAATATTCCGTTCTAAAGAATCTTTTTAAATCTTCTTTAATTTTTTGGCGATCATGTAAGATTTCTGCTGTGGATTAATAATGAGATATTAATCCATATTCGATCTTGCGTTGTAATGAAACCCGTAGTATAATGCGTGATGTAATGTAATGCGTAAACTATTACACGCGATTCCCTTCCCTTCGCTCGCGTCCTCAGCCGAGATTTGATTATTCTAATGGCATAATGTCGTTGCCTACGTGCCACCCTCTTTTTCCACTTATCCCACCCTACGACTGTAACTTGTATAAAAGTCCGTCGCGGGGATGTATCCGCGTGCGTTCTGTCCGTCGCTCCGCACCGTCGGCTCTTAACCGACGGACGAAATGTGAGATGGTCACCGACTTTTTCCTCAAAATCTCTGTTTTGCAATAATTATGATACCCTCTAAATATATTTGTTATAATTTACATCCGCAGATATATCTTTTTTCCATGCAATTGCGGGTATATCTTTTATTACACAATTATGTCAAAATTTCAATAATTTTATTGAATCTAATCTTCAATTTCTTGTTTCCGTCGAATTGCAAATGCTTATTCCGTTCATTTTATAACACAAAAAAATGCGCAAAATTCTGCTTGCTGACACACGTTTTTCAATTATCGATAAATTTTCATTTATTAATTCTCATATTGTGAATTAAAATTTTAGCTGTTTCAAAATTAAATAATTAACAAATATATAGAATGTCAACTGTTTGTTCTTTTATACAATTAGCACATGTATCTTTCTGTTGCATCAACTTGTATTTGTTTAAATTTTTGAAATATATTTCTGAAAAAATGTTGCGTTTAATATTATCTTCATTAATATCAAATATTATCATCCCAGTTTATTGAATGATTCGCAAATATATTTGTTTATTACAAGTATTCCAATATCATTGAATCTCGATAACGACAATGTAAGATTTTTTCTACCTTTTTCGAGAAATAAATATACAAATATTCTCCTAATGATAGTTGGTTTCTTGAAATTTTTATATTTGATAAAAATCTATCTTAATAAATCATATTTGCAATTTTTTTCAATAACATTTATAAAACTTCTCTCGATTAAACCACAAAAGGCATAAGAGACGCTTATTATGCGATGCACTAACGATTAGTCGAAATTAGTAAAGATGAAGACCGACGAAAAAGGGGAACAAACTCCTTTTTTTGATCTCTCTAACTAACGCAACCCTTGGCTCCACTCGCAACGACCCCCCCCCCCTCTCGCTTTTTCCGATGATCCCATAATACGAGGGCGCAGGTGGCGCCTTGCCATCCGCCAGCATTGATATGCTAATGAAATTTGACGCCCCTGCTTTTGCGTGCGTTACTCTCGGCGCGGGTGGCTTATAGCGGGTGTGTATTTTCTATTGGACCGTCATTTTTCTCTTCTCGTTTAACTCTGCGCGGCCGACAGATTGCACCGCGGCAAGATTTGATTAGCCTAATGCAGTAATTTGCGAACGCACATGTTTATATACATATTTCAAATATGTATAAAATTAATTTAAACATGGGACAGAGTAAATGTACCTTTAAATTACTCCAATTATACAAAAAAAAAAAAAAAAATAATACACAAACTTAACATATAGGAATCAAAGTAATTATTATATTCGGTTATAAAAGAAAAAATAATAATCATAAATCGATTACGTCTCGATCGATCTTTATCGTAGTGCAGATCCTTCGCCGTTTCGAAGATTGAATCAGCGCGTCGGAATATACTTTAGTAATCGACAGGATTAGGGGATGTATGTTAACGAGATCGAAAAGCTCGTACGCTTATACAAAGTCACGTGAGTTGAATTAATAAGATTGACACCGTCCCGACGTGATTTGATAACGATCGGAAGCGATGCGATTTGACAATTGGATTGTCCGAGCGCTGAATATATTGGAAAATAGATATTGGATTTTCAAGAGGTCATGTTGAAGAGGAGAATTTTTGGCAACGGGAGGATATCTCTCTTTTCCCGACGATAAAGTCTGTCACTGTATTCGATAGCTTCTGGCACCCCACCGGAGAATCTCTGTTCCTCCCTGAAGGCTTACCGAATAGATCGCGAGGACAAACAGTATTTACATCGGGAAATGAGTTTGGAAAAAGCTCAGGAAGTAAGGAACGCTCGAATATAAATATTTATGCCGAAGGAATGAAGGGACGATTCCGCTGTAATATGCGTCGCGTAATATATACGCGTCGTCAACCTACCGCAGAATTATTTCAATAAAAATTTCCGAAATTCCGTTTCTTTGCTTTCAAATATGTTTTTACAAATTATATTTACAAACAAACACGGATAATCGATAATTTCTATGTAACTACGTAAAAATATATTTTTCAAATATCTTTATCATAACTGTACTTACTGGTCAATTAAACAACATTTTCTAACAATACGATACATTCTTATACTCTTTATCGTGTATAAACAATGCTTCGATCAAATTCTAAAGAAAGGAAAAACAATTTTCCAAAAAAGGACGACCGCGTTCTTTGAAAATTGAAGAGGCAAAAGCGGCGCGATGAAAAAGATGAATTTTGTCGAACGTTCGAAAGTGCAATGCACCGTCGGTGTGACAAACAGACTTTTCAGTCTGGAAAAGTCGCGCGCACCGTGGCGATGAACATCTGCGTGATCAACGAAATGCGATTTCGCTTCTCTGCTCGCGTCGACTTTATTAGTCACGCCGGTGTTCTCAGTGAGGCGCGAGATCTCGCTGGAATCGTATTTGTCGGCGGCCGTCCCCGAACTCGATCGAAAACTCGTTCCGGCCTCGTTAATACCGCGGGGTCAGATAGGATCCGTTCGAGAATTACCATGAGGATTGACAACAGGACGATGTCAAGACAGGGTATGCGCGAAACGATGTTATTTTGTTACGCTCTATCGTTTAAGTAGAGTAGGGCTACTCCGTCATTTAATTTTAAAGCTAAAGATAATGAAAATTTGCAGAAAAATTACGTTTGTCTGTAGTGGAAGACAATTACATTCTTACAATTATGTTACACAAACGCGGCTGTTTTTTGACGGTGCAAGCACGATCTTCAAATGAAGAATATATACCGTTTAAGAAACGTAAACGTTTTTATCACTGGCCTATGGAAAATGTCTCACTCTGTTTTATAATCACCATAAACCACTAAAATCACGCATCTTTAACGATAAATTGATAAATTTAAATATTTTTTTATTGTTAATTCCAGTTTTATTCGATTAAAGTCAAATGATGATTCATCTGTCATGTCAAAAGTGCTATATTTCAAAAAAATCTTGAAAAAATATTTATTTAGGTAATCATCTCGAAATACATACAACTATTTAATCGATACAGACTACATAACATAGCGACTTGCTTTTCTGATACAGCAAGCGATAGAATTTTTTAGAATCTCCCTTGCCCTTGATTATGAGGGATTTCGATTGACAAGCCTTTGATATGATATCGATTGTCGATTGAATACGAATGACAACAAAATGGATCGCGATGATTTTCATGGTGGTCCATAACGATCGAACGTTAAGCGGGTGGGCGCAATTATTTTATGCGATCGTGGACACTCGACGACCCTCGTTCTTCGAAATCAATCAAGGCCGCGGCGGGGACTTTTCGATCTGTCCCGATTGGGGTTGGTCTCACGGACGGGCGAGAAGAGATTTCTAGGATTAAGCCGAAAGTAACGGCCAGCTGATCGAATGGATTGATCGCGGAAAAATAATATTTTGATCGTAAATCTTGAGCCCTCCTCGCGTCATCAAGAAAGCGATCCCGCGACTGGAAAAAAATAATGGATAGTCAGACACGATGCAATTGGAGAGGTCACGTGATTTCATTTCTCTCTCAATTATGATATTGTAATTTATAAAGGATTATATATACATTGATTTTCGTAGGAAATAAAAATAATTATGTAATACGTAATAAATGAACTAATTTTTATATTGTGGACAAAATTATAGAAATTTGTGACGTTAAAAACTGCTGTCTCTCTGTCTCGTTGAAAATGTAATGAATTAAATTAATAGAAATATGTAAATACCGTAAGTATAATTCGAGCTAAATTGAAGCTCGTTATAATTAAAACTGTAATTAAAGTTATAATCACAGATAAGCGAGGTAATTTAACAATCGAGCGATATTTTCAATTAAGTTGCGCAAGGATCAAACTAATATTATTAACAATTCCAATTTCATATTACATTTGCATGCAAATCTCTTCGCAAATGCATGTAAAAATAAAAATATCTTCACAAATGCAATAAAAATACAAAATTCGACATTTTAGCTTCAAATAAGGAAATCCAAATTAGACATTGAATTACAATAATGCCACTTTTATCAATCTCTGAGAAAATTAAGAGATGCTCAACACTTTCATGCGAATCGCGATCGCTGCAATTGTGCAAAGTCTGAAGCGAGGTTACGAGGAAAATAATTCACGTAGATTGACGATATTGAAGAATACGACAATAATTTGCCGATTGTGAATTATGTCAATATGATTTTCTTCTTCTTTCAGTTACTTGAAAATTTTCGACATGTGTACTGCGATGTATATTAACTTATGACTGCTTGTTTATATTGCGTCTTTTTATCGGTCATTTACCGATAAAAAATATGTATGATTAATTCGCTCAACATCTTTTCGACACCAAATTCATTAATTTTACATTTAAATAGACTATAATTTATCTTAAGACTTCAATATATTTCAATATGTACAAAATTTGTATATGTAATATTACACCTATTAAATTGACTAATAAATTTATTTAGTAAAAAAGTAAAAAAGAATAATATCATAATATTAATTTCTATATTTTCTTCTAACCAAATAAATATGATATATATAAATTTTACAAGCCTTGAAACTTTGTACATTTTCTCTCTCTCTCTC